CACTTCCACAAGAGACAGCAGACACAGCAAAACATGGCCTTCCAGACGGTTCTAGAATGTGCTTTGCACTTTAACAAGGGATGATGGCAGACACAATAGATTTAATCGATATATGAACAGAGATTTTTGCTCGAAGTTGCTGGAAAATTCCGATCGAAAGGCTATATAAACGGAACTGGGACCATCTGACACTTTGATCTGTCAACCGGATTTAGCCAAGGAATCATGCAATATTTCCCTTTACTGCCATCACTCTTATCCGGTCGAGCAAAGGACGATAATTCACCGGACGGTTCTTTCCACCCTTTCCTTTTCTCAGTTGTTTTCTTTCAAATTATTTAAGTAGTTATTTGACCAAATTCTGAGTGGTTCGAGATTAGCCTAAGGCTGCATATGTCCTATTGGTAGTGGGTTGGATCGTCTGATATAGTAAGCATTAGGATGACAGGATTATCCTTACAGATTAGACGGATAATTTTCTTCTTTCTATTCTATCAGTTAATTTATCAGCAAGCGAGTTAATAAATGTATTCTAACATTTCCCATTTTTACTCCTTATACTAGGCCAGCAAGGCTTACAGTACCTGTTGCGTCCTTGCCCGTATTTATACTAATTCATTCATATCTTCTGCATTGGCTAGTTGTGTAATTTCGATTGGTCGGACGTTTTTCGAGTTTTAATTATTTTTTTTCAATTATCTCTAACTTTAGAAGAATTCGGCTATCATTCAATAAACTGAAAAATGTCACTTTTCCGCTATAATCCTCGCGATTATTTCTATACCTCACCGATGGAACGTTTCATAGTAAATCTCCTCGACAACACATTCGATGACAGGTCATATCGACCGCTGCAAAGTGTCGCACCATATTGGCTACATCAGCCGATATTGAACGAATGTAATATCGGAAACGCGCTTGGCGAGGTAATCGTAACTTTTAATTTGGCATTTCCTCTATGTTTAGGTTAGATATATGTAACGTTCATGCTTTAAACACATGAGCAATTGAATTAGGTGCGAAGAGTTTATGGAAATATGATCATAGCCGCACAAAATATCGTCCTCTTTGTCCTTTTTTTGTTTTCGTTGTCCCAAAATCCGTCTGATCACTTAGTGTGTGAGGTAGTAGATCGCAGAAGTTTCTTTCAAGAAGTTTCAAGTGTTATAAGTTTCAGGTATTGGATGAGAAGGACAAGTTTGGAGTTCAAGTTGATGTTTCCCATTTCCATCCCAAGGAACTTTCGGTGTCGGTTCGAGATCGTGAATTAACTATTGAGGGTCATCACAAGGAGCGTACTGATCAATCAGGACATGGTAGTATCGAACGTCACTTCGTTCGAAAATATGTTATGCCAGAAGAAGTACAACCTGACACCATCGAATCACATTTGTCCGATAAAGGGGTATTGACAATTTGTGCGGCCAAAACAACTGTCGGCACACCTGCAGCACGCAACATACCTATTCGGGCATCCCCAAAAGAACCGGAAGCAGGTGACAAATCGACATCGAATAGTACGGAACAGTCAAAATGAAAGTTTTATCAACATGCCACTGTTTTTTTTTTTGTACATATTATAAAGAGAAAATGTTTTATTAAAGGAATTTGAAGATGGATATGATCACTCCTCCGTCTTTTTGGACAGCAGTAACTTTCCCCATTTTCTATGATCCTTATCGACCCTTTCCACTTATAGTTCTGCCAGTTCCTCTCGAACGAAAAATCTTATTTAAATGAATTTAGATTTTATGCATCTTCAATTTTTCGTCCCTAAATATGTAAAGAAATTTAATTTTCATGTTTTTATCAGACGCTTTTTTCTTGAATTGTTTCACTTTATTTCATTACAAAAGCAATTAGCTGTCTTTTTTTGAAACATTCCATATTTATTCGTTTCGTCGTCCCGTACTGTATCATCAAATGGTTTATTATGTGTTTTATCCCTATCAATGTTTTATTCTTTATTAGTTCTTCAATAAAATGATTTCCTTTTACTGTATTTTGATGGCAAGCAGACATTTAGAAACTGTTCTCAGTTCATGTTCTGAATATTTCAGAGAGATGATTGAAGAGTTGAGTAATAAAGATAACCATTATCATCCGATGAAGCGGCAATTATCCTCAGTCGTGACAAGATCTGCTCATTATT